TAAATAGTGGCCACTTTAATTAGTAGTAAGATCATTTTGATCCTGACTTTGTTCAGAAGTGCTACAGGGTTCCATTTCTACATCATGTTACTTCTTTTTCATTTTGATTCTCCCATTGCTGTTGTTTGCTTGTGAAATTTACCTTGCATTGCCGTTGCTTTCATTCTAGATCTGGCCTCTTTTTAGTCTCTGAGCATCTTTATTATATTTTATTTTATTTAGTTTATTTCCTGAATTTAGAATTTGTCCTTCCCTAAAAATCTATTACAAGGCACCTCATCCTTTCTGAGAATCAGCGTAGAATTGGGCCTCTTCCTTGAAATTTTATGTAAACATATTTATCCCATATGTTTATGTTTCTTAGAATGTGTAAAAAATAACACTTTTTTATTATAGAGTTATACAATTATACTAGAGTCCTTTTGTGAAGTATAGAAAAACACAGAACAAAATTTAGACATAACCTACAACTCCACCATCTAGAAGTAGTCATAGTTAACATCAATATATCCTTTATATCATTTAGCTAACTAATTCAACAAATATTTTCCATTGATAAATGTGTATTAATTAATAAAATCATAGCTTATTATTTCTTGTCATGTAATTTTATTAGTTATTGAGATTTTATTTTGTGCCAGGCACTGTTCTAAGTGCTAGGGATATAGCAGTGAATTGCTATATAGAAAAAGTCCATACCCTTATGAATCTTACATTCCAGTGGGGAAAAACAGAAAATAAATAAATGTACATTATGTTATCACATAATTATAGCAGTTACAGAGAAATTAAGTCAGGAGTATTAGGATTTTAGCAGGAAACATTACTCAAACAGTTGAGTAATTAAGTTTTGTGAGAATGATGGCTAAGATTACAAAAATTATGGGGTTGAGAACAGCCTTGAGCATACAACAGTGGAAAGCCATTATTACATTTAGGAAGGGGAGAGATTGATTACTGTATCCTGGAGGATAGAACCACTTGATATGAACTTTGCCTTTGCTTAAAGAAATACAAGTATAGTTGGCTCTCCTTACCCATGGATTCCACATCCACAGATTCAACCAACTGTAGATCAAAAATATTTGGGGGAGGGCTGGGATTGTGGCTCAATGATAGAGTGCTTGCCTGGCATGTGTGGGGCACTGGGTTTGATCCTCAGCACTGCATAAAAATAAATAAATAATAAAGACATGTTGTCCATCTACAACTACCAAAAACAAATTAAAAAATTGAGGGGAGGGCTAGGATTGTGGCTTAGTAATAAAGGGCTTGCCTAGAATGTGTGTAGCAGTGGGTTTGAAACTCAGCACCACAAATAAAGAATCAAAATAAAGTCCATTGACAACTAAAAAAAATATATATTAAAAATATTTTGGAAACAAACCATAAAAAATAATACAAATTAATGACTACATAGTACTTACATTGTATTAGGTATTATAAGTAATCTAGAGTTGAATTAAAACATGGGAGAATGTATGTAGGTTATATGTGAATACTATGCCATTTTATATAATGGATTTTAGCATCTGAAGCTTTTGAAATCCAAGAGGGATCCTGGAAGCAATTCCCTGCAGATACTGAGAGAATGACTAGCTCAGCAAGAAAAAATCAAGGATTTAGGGTGGACAGCTTACCTTTTGGCTTGGTATTTAGCACTAACAGTCTCACATCCCAATAGTCCCTCAGTTTGGGCAAACTAGAACAATTGGTCTCTCAACTATTCTCTTCCACCATGCGACCAGCGCACTGATTTCATTAAAGAGGTTCTTGGCATAAAAGTTTACTAGTGAGATTGAAATAAAACACACAGACTCGGTTACCTTTTTCTATGACCAGGTCCGAGACGGCTCCCCCTCTGGTTCCCACCTCGAACCACCCAGTAGGGCAGCAAGGATTACTCAGGGCTAGCAGGAGAGAGAGAGAGAGGGAGCACGCCAGGGAGTAGCCTTTTATTGAGGAACAAGAAATTCAGGGGAGAATTCCATCCAATGAAGGTTGAGGGGGGCCGCACCCCAAGGTCAGGGTCAGTGATTGGCCCCCGGGGTCAGTGGTCAGTCACACCCCCACACGGACAGGCTCTCGCACCAGGAGAGGGCCGGGAAAGCTCCGACACAGTTTAGCCAGAACGCCTCAGACCCAAACCGGGAGTTGCCCAGTCACGTGTGAAGATGACTCCCCACAATTCTCCTACTCTTGTACAAATTTAATTGCAAGCCAGAGCATAGAACCACAGGTTTTGCAGTTTATCAGTATTAATCCCCAGAGCCACAAAGCAAATATGAAGTAGATCTGGAAGGGGCTGGGGCTGTGGTTCAGTGGCAGAGCACTTACACACCTTCTTCATCTGTTGTTTGAATAGCATAAGGAACCCAAAATGGCCAAGAGGCAGTCTTACCTTCAAATTTAACAAAAATCATTACTTTGCTTCATAGTAGAAGCACTTCTCCTTTGAGTACTGGAAAACTCACCAAATCCAAGATTATGGAGATATGAAACAAAATAATACAAATAGATTATTAGGTATATGAGAGGAACCATTCTCTCTCCTTCTCTTTGGTTCCTATACCTCTTTATGTATTTTGGTCATGGAGAAAAAACTTAGTTGTCTTTAGTTTAGGAAATATATTGTGTCCTATAAGACATCACCCCAGATTTAGCCTTTAGCCATTATCTCAATCCACATACTTCTGGATGATGGGGCGTATAGATAGATTCATTTATTACACATATCTGAACTCACTGGTATACTTCTTTCCCTTATAAGATGAGTTATTTGGAGGCAATACTGTAAAGAATACCATAGTATTAAAAATATCATTCTCTTAAGTCAATACAAATTTGTATCTGAACTATGTATTTCGTTCTTTGAAAACAAATTGTTGCTGTCTATATGATATAAGTAGTCCAAAGTAAGGGATCTATCCTCTAAAGGCTAATTGGTTCTTCTCTAGGGAGTGGTACTTTTGGGCTGGGGGTATAGTATTCACTTTGAATATTGGCTGTTTGGGCACATAGCAGTGGTAACAGGAATATCAGCCTTGGAGAGGGGAAGTCCATATTGTTGAAGCCATATACAGCTTCCATTGCTGCTGCCATGACCACTCCGTACCTAAGTCCATTGTATAAGCATTGGAAGAAGGCTGATTGACATTCATATTATGGATCATTATGCCTAATTGTTCTAGGGGCTTCTTTCTCTACAGTAGATGCCTTTTACTGAGGATTCACAAGGAATACAAATATTTTCACATTCTTTGCTCATTCTAGGAAGTCCATCCTCATATTTTGCTTCTATAATCCTCATTTCTGCTATTCCAATCTAATTCTTTTAAAGTAACTATATATTCTGATAACCCATTAGTAACTACCTAAAAATCATTGTAGGCATATTTCTTAGACTGTGCTGCCTTTCATGAAAAGTGGACAGATAACCACGTGTATACCTGAAATTCTGTCAACTGGAACGATTTGCCTTTATCAATGTATTTGAGGCCATCACTAAGTAAGGGTATAAGTAAAAGCTTTGGGCTGGTGCCCACATGCTGCCAAACCCATCTGAAAACTGACTGTTTAATTTCCGCTTGTCTGTTAACTAGTAACAGGGAATTCCTATAAGGTCGTTGAGAGAGAAGTAACAAAACCATATGAAAAAGTAATATGGAATCCAAATCACTTGCCCATGGAATTTACTGCTAGTTAATTTTACAATGGAATGCTGGGTTTTGCATCATTTTTTATAATCGGTAACAAGTACACAATGGCCGTTTGTAATATATAGCCACCTGGAACTCTGTGATCAAGCATTAAGTCTAACAGTGCCCAATAAATAATAAGCCAGGATTTGCTTCACATAAAAAACTCTTGTCAGAAGAGGGAATGGCTCTAAGCAACTTCATGAGACCCACTCTGTCTTTAAAAACAAAAAACAAAAAAACAATGGAAAGGTTTTGATTTCCTTTTCTTTCTTTCTTTCCTTTTTTTTTTTTTTTTTTTAATTAATACCTTTTTTTTTGGCCCAAATAGCCGCACAATGCTGGGTAGAGCCTAGTCAACTTCTTTTCATTTTTCTGCACTCTTTCACACTGCTTACCTTAAATATGTGAATAAAATAAATTGCTTGTGTATTAGCTCTAATTTAGTCATACTTTCCTAATCAAAGTAAATAGGTTTCAGTATTCCCAGATGTCCTTTAACAATCATACAGAGCACATCTGGTAAGTCACTTCTATAAGTGATTAATATGATCCATTACTATTGTTTCTTCCCAGTTTTCCTCTCAGAGGGTATTTTCAGGCTGGGTGCCATGGCATATACCTATAATTCCAGCAGCTTGTGAGGCTGAGGCAAAAAGACTGTGAGTTCAAAGCCAGCCTCAGCAAAAGTGAGGCACTAAGCAACTCACTGAGACCCTATTTCTAAATAAAAAATACAAAATAGAGCTGGGGATGTGGCTCAGTGGTCAGGTGCAATCCCTGGTGCAAAAAAAAAAAGAAAGAAAAGAAGAGGGTAATTTCAGCATTCCCATATTGTTATATTTGTAATCTGTTTCACCTGAACTTTCTTACAGCATGGAGAACACTTTCCATTTGGATTTTGTTTATTGTTCCAGATATTGAGACTAAGATCAAAATTGGACAACCAGCTTCAGAGGAAGAAATTACAGCAAAAATTGAAATGTTGACTGAAGGGTTTGGTAACCCCAAAGAGGATGATCTCCAGAACTCTGAAGGCAGAGAATTCTGTGAATTTCGAGATAAATTGAATAAAAAGTATCAGACCCTTTTTAAAAGAAGACAATATAACTGTGAGGAATGTGGACAAAGTTTTGCTTGGAGTACAGGCCTTATTCAGCACCAGAGAACCCACTGGAAAAAACCCTATGAATGTGATAATTGTGGAAAGGTCTTTCGAATGAGCTCAGCTCTGGTTATGCATCAGAGAATTCATACTGGAGAGAAACCCTATCCTTGTAATTGGTGTATTAAAAGTTTCAGTCGGAGTTCAGACCTTATTAAACATCAAAGAGTCCACACTGGTGAAAAACCTTATAAATGTGATGAATGTGGGAAAGCCTTTAGTCAGAGTTCAGATCTTATTATACATCAGAGAATCCATACAGGAGAGAAACCTTATCAATGCAGTCATTGTAATAAAAGTTTTAGCCAGCGCTCAGACCTAGTTAAACATCAGAGAATTCACACTGGAGAGAAGCCTTATACGTGTAACCAGTGTAACAAACAATTTAGTCAAAGTTCTGATGTTATAAAACATCAAAGAATCCACACTGGGGAGAAACCATATAAGTGTGATGTATGTGGGAAACCCTTCAGTCAGAGCTCAGACCTTATTCTGCATCAGAGAATCCACACTGGGGAGAAGCCATATCCATGTAATCAATGTAGCAAAAGTTTCAGTCAGAATTCAGACCTTATTAAACATCGAAGGATCCACACTGGAGAGAAGCCCTATAAATGTAATGAGTGTGGAAAGGCTTTTAATCAAAGCTCAGTTCTTATTCTGCATCAAAGAATTCACACCGGAGAAAAACCCTATTCATGTAATCAGTGCAGCAAAACTTTCAGTAGGCTTTCAGATCTTATTAATCATCAACGAATTCACACTGGAGAGAAGCCTTATCCATGTAATCAGTGCAATAAAATGTTTAGTCGAAGATCAGATCTCGTTAAACATCATAGAATTCATACAGGTGAGAAACCCTATGAATGTGACGACTGTGGGAAAACCTTTAGTCAGAGCTCCAACCTTATTCTACATCAGAGAATCCACACTGGAGAGAAACCTTATCCATGTAGTGATTGCACTAAAAGTTTTAGTCGCCGTTCAGATCTCGTAAAGCATCACAGAATACACACTGGAGAGAAACCATATGCTTGTAATTTGTGCAATAAAAGTTTTAGTCAAAGTTCAGACCTCACTAAACATCTGAGAGTGCACTCTGGTGAAAAGCCCTATCGTTGTGATAGTTGTGAGAAAACCTTCAGTCAGAGGTCTGACCTTATTCTTCATCAGCGAATTCACACTGGAGAAAAACCATATCCATGCACACAGTGCAGCCGAAGTTTCTGTCAGAACTCGGACCTCATCAGACACCAAAGAGTTCACACTGGGGAAAGACCTTATAAATGTAATGAGTGTGGGAAGGCTTTCAGTCAGTGCTCAGCTCTCATCCTGCATCAGAGAATCCACACTGGGGAGAAACCATATCCATGTGACCAATGTAGCAGAAGCTTTAGTCATCGCTCTGAACTCATTAATCATCAAAAAATCCACACAGGTGAAAAAATCATATAAATGTGATGCATGTGGGAAAACCTTCACTATGGGAATAGATCTCATTGATCACCAGAAGATCCACACTGAGGACAAAATGTACCAGTGTGTTCAGTGCAGCATAAGTTTTAGCCAATTCTCTGATCTTATTAATCATGAGAAACTCCATTCTGGGCAAGACAGTTTAAATGTGATGAATGAGGGGAAACCCTTACTGTATACACCAACTTTATTCAGTTCCAGAGACACTATACCAGAACAAAAATCTTATGAATGCTATTGATGACCATGAAAAAGGTTTTAATCAATATTTAGCTGTTATGCTCAATTTAAAAACAAAACCCACTGGAGAGAAAACTAAGTCAGTTTTTATAATGACAATTTAATTTGAAGCCCATACATTACTAAAATTAAGAAAAAAATCTGAGGAAGAGTTCTGAGATTTGTGGGAAACCCTTCAGTGTGAATATTTTTTTTTTACCAATTGTTAGCAACAATAGAAAGAAAATTCTATCTTTGCTATAATGTAAGAAAAGCTGTCTTTTATTCAGACATAGTCCACAAAAGAGGAGTTGTATCATTGTAGGAAATATATAATAACATTAATGCAGAAGTTATCAAATATTTTAAAATTCAATGTGTAGAGGTGTTTAATCAAAACTCAAAAGGAAATGTATTAGTTTTAGAATCTCAAATCTTTAATGAGTCTATATTACCAATGGTATATAGAAATTATTTTAGAGAATGTGGAGAAAACAAATCCCTTTCATATCTAAGTTGGCATTTATATAGATGTCTGACAACTAGAGAGTCCTACCTTATGCTCATGCTAAGTATCTATGCATTCATCATGTGTGAACACACTATGCTATTGTGGTATTAAGCTTACTAACTAGATATCCCAAGTGCCCCCTTTTCTCAAAAGTTATTTTGTTTTGGTTTGGTTTGGTTTTCCTAGTAAGCATGAGCTTGTGCGAGTTCCTGTACTATACACAACAAATGCTGATTTATTTCACTGTCAGTAATGCAGCCCGTAAACTTTGAAATGTGAAATCACTTTCTCACTGCCATTTAATTACAGCTTTGAAATGTGGAATAGGATTTTTAAAAGCAAATTTATTTGTCAAAATATGAAGATTTTTCTATTACTGCTTATCTTGTCATCTATTGAACAAAAATGGTGGCTGTGATATTGTTATTTATAATAAGAAATATATACAGTATTTCCTCTGTATCCACAGGGTATACCCAGTGGAAGCCTGAAACTTTGGACAGCACTGAACTCTATAATGCAATGCCTTTTCCTTCTTAACTAAGCATTTTTCCTGCACTTTGGCTGTAACTTTTACAATTCGAGGTGCAACACCAAAGCTAGAATGCGTTTTTTCTATTCACAATTTCACAGATAGAAGATTCATTCTTACCATAGATCTTAGCAACCTCTGCATACAATTTTTTTCTTTCCATAAATAAAAATTTCACCTTTTTACTAAAGGAAGTGTCTTGGCTTCTCTTTGGTATATCCAAATTGCCAGAATTACCACTATTATGCATTGGGGCCATTATTTAGTAAAACAAAAGTTACTTGAACACAGTATGATATAAGTCAGTCTGTCTGATGACCAAAACAGCTACTAAGTGACTAATCTGGACAATGATTTAGTCAACCACGCCTACATTAATGAAGCCTTTATAAAAGCCCAAAAGGACAGGATTCAGAGAGCTTCCAGGTTGACACACTCAGAAGGTACTTGGAAGGTAGCCCACAGGGCATAGAAGCTCTGTGTCACTTCTCACAGAATCTTGCCCTATGCATCTCTTCTGGCTAGCTGATCCTGAGTTGCATTATTTTATAATAACCAGTAATCTAGTAAGTAAATTGTTTTCCTGAGTTCAATGAACCATTTTAGCAAAAAATCAAACCCATAGAGAGGGTTATAGGAACCTCTGATTTATAGTCAGTTAGTCAGAAGCACCAGTGAAAATATGAACATGTAATATGTGCCTAAAGTTGCTGACAGTCTTATGAGACTGTCTTTAGCCTGAGAAGTCTGAGAGAACTCCAGATAGATAGTGTCAGAATTGAATTATGTGATATCCCATTGCTGGAGTTCAAAAACCTCACATATCTCTCGTAACAGACATGTGTAAGTATAGAGAAGATAGCAAATTTTTCCTGTACAGAAGCTAAAGTAATGACCTATGTGATTAATTTGTATGGTATAGTCTGTCTAAAAATAAAAAGACCTTTACTCTTGTTTTTCAAGTGGTAGCATTCATCAGACTTCAAAAAACTATGTATTGATAAAGGGAAACATACATGCAGAATTTTCAACTGAAAAATATAGTTTTTAAAAAGATAAGTATAAAAAATTATCCTTGTCTTTTTGATGTTAGCCATTTGATAAATTCTACTATCACTTTCTTTGATTATCTCCCATAATTATCTAATTAAATATTTTAATTTAATAGATGTTGTTAAATTATGTAGTCAAGACTTTGGGGGGTTATACTCTATGCAAAGAATATATGATCTCTTCTAATAAAGCATGTATTGCTAGTGATTGAGAAAACACATGGCTCAATGTAATCATAAGATGCTTATAAGAATTCAGAGTAGGGGGCTGGGGTTGTGGCTCAGCACTAGAGTGCTCACCTAGCATGTGCAAGGCCCTGGGTTTGATCCTCAGCACCACATAAAACTAAATAAATAAAATAAAGGTATTGTGTCCAACTACAACTAAAAAAAAAAAAAGGGAGGAAGAGTAGGAAGGATTCCATTCTGATCAGAAAGAAAAGGGAGCTTTGTGGAGCTCCTAAATTTGTCATCCTTTAAGGTGATCACCTGATCCAGACACTTTAATTTTTCATGCCTATAATTTGTGAATAAGTGTTGAATAAGAAATTACCAGATCTATTATCAGATCTATTAGAGTCAGAGACATCAATATTAACTCATGTATATATTGTATACACACATAACACACATACAGAGAAAAGCAACTACAGGACATATGTCTATATATGAGTTAGTACACACACTACCCGGCTCTGTTCTCCAAGGGGACCTAGAAGAAATGATACTCCAGTAACTGAGCCTACCCAGATCTTGGTTTCTATGTATTATTCTCCAGAAAAGGAATCAGGGCTCCTTTGAGAAATGGATGATTCTAGGGCTAGGACACAGAAAGTGTGAGATGAACTTGAATCATCCTGTAGTACAGAAAATGAACAAGAAATCTAATGACAAGAGGATAAAGGCATGTCAGAAGAGCACAAAGCCTTGGACTGGAGTTGTATCTCAGTGGTAAAGCACTTGCCTAGCATGTGTGAGGCATTGGTTCTGATCCTCGGCACTACATAAAGATAAAAAAATAAAGATTGTGTCCATCTAAAACTAAAATACACTCACACACACACACGTGTGTGTGTGAGAGTGTGTGTGTGTGTATGTTTTTTTATTTTGTTTTGTTTTTTTAAGGAGCACAAAGCCAACCTGAAGGCGTTTACAAGGTGGAATATACATGAGTCCATACTATAAGTAAACATGGAAGAGAGAGCTTCCTTATGGAAGAATTCCAAATGATATATTTAGATTCTAACCTCCTCCAGGATGTGGGGGACATATCTGAACCCCAGGCCCTCAGAGGAAACTGCAACTATTGACATGCTTCAAAGAAATGCAGCGTGGAAAGGGGAAAATACTAACTATAGTGGAGGAATCTGGCAAAAACTCTTAACGTAGGGTTTCTCAACCTCACACTCTTGATATTATGGGCTGCCGCGTCCGGCTAACGGAGCCGAGTCCAGCGAGGGACGGCGGGGTTAAAAAATACACAGGACACCAAGGTTCTTCATCCAGGAGGGAGCATGTGTGCGCTTTATTGCCAAATTTGTTCCCCTTATATATCTTTTTAACAGCTGCAGGAAATCACTCAAAAGTGAGGAGGGAAGAGTAATAACTGCGTCCTTGGGTTACCGTCACATCACCGTCCCCTATCAGGAGGCTCGAACAGGTCAAGATGTTCCCGAGAGACTCATATGCTCTAGGCAGATAAACAGGGAACCGCAAGCCCGCGTCAAGGCCTTGTGAGCTGGCCACATTGACATGCATAAAAAAGAACTGGGGGTTGAGTCCCCAGGGGCCAGGGCGGGCCTGCTACCAGCAACGAGCCAGATAATTCTTTGCTGTGGTGGACCTGACTTGTCAAATTAAATGTTTACAACTATCCCTCTCCTTATCGACTAAATACCAGTAGCAACTCTTTCCTAGTTATGACAATCAAAAATGTGTGTAAGGGCTGGGGATGTGGCTCAAGCGGTAGCGCGCTCGCCTGGCATGCATGCGGCCCGGGTTCGATCCTCAGCACCACATACAAACAAAGATGTTGTGTCTTCGGAGAACTAAAAAATAAATATTAAAAAATTTTCTCTCTCTCTCTCTCTCAAAAAAAAAAAAAAAAATGTGTGTGATACTGCCAAATTGCCCTTGAGAGGCTTCTCATCTGCCTGAGAAGGAATACCTAAAGATTATAATAACTATTATTTTTTGTAGATATCATGTACCACTTGGTATGATGCAACTAGAAGATCACTTCAGCTCTATAGTTGTTTTTAGCTTGTTTTTTTGTCTTGAACCCAGGGGTACTCTACCACCGAGCTATATTTGTGGTTCTTTTCTTTTTAGTTTTGAGAGAGGGTGTCACTAAGTCATTAAGTTGCTGAGTCTGGGTTTGAACCTGTAATCCTCCTGCCTCAGCCTCCCAAATCACTGGGATTAGAGGAATGCACCACCATGCCCAGCTATAGTATTTTAAAAAAATAATTTGTAGTCCCAAAATAACTAAAATCAGAAATGAAAGAGCATTTTACTGATAATACTACAAAAAAAGGAATACAAGAGAGTAATAATTGTATACCAACAAATTGGATAAACCAGATAAAAATGGAAAAATTTCTAGAAACAATTTACTAATTATATAGAAAATATGAATATACCTATAACTGATAGGACTGAATCAGAATTTTTGTTTTTGCAGAAAAAAAAAAAAACAACAAAAAGCCCAGGGCCAAATGGCTTCACTGACATTTTAAAAAGAAACACCAGTTGTGTTAGTCAGCTTTCTGTCACTGTAACAAATACCTGGTATAATCAACATATAAAGAGAAAAGTTTTATTTTGGCTCATAGTTTTGGAGGTTCCAATCCATGATTGTCCTTGTTGCTTGTTGCTTTGACCAAAAGTAGTCAATGTCATGGATAGCCAGAAAGCAAAAAAAAAAAAAAAGACCTTGGGTCTCATACTCCCCTTCAAGGGCATACCCCCAATGACCTAAAGACTTCC